GAAAGAGTGGCTTATAGCTAAGATGAAAGAGGGCTGCAAAAAAGTTCCAAATGCGAAGTTTCATCTTTATTTGTGTTTCTCAACTCAGCGGAATGAATAAACCCACTGCTTATAAGCAGCTTCTCCATTAAAAAAAAAAATGAATCTCTTTCATTGCCCACTTCAAATATTCATCCCATTTGTGGAGGAGTCTAGGTACTTCCAGGTGTGGATTCTTCATATTTACGCTCATGAATTAATCCATGAACCATTTTAATGCTTTGTTAAATAGAAAACATTAACAAATGGATCATGAGCATTTTAACTGCAGCCTCAATGTAAATATAGACTTCAGTTTGCCCCAGAGTAACACCAGTCTAGTTAACTTAATCAGCAAAACTGTTCAAAGGGACATTTGGGTGTAGACTTTGGGACTGTAGACAAACATCCATGTTTTAACAGCATAATGAAAGGAAGGATATGTATGTTTATGGAAAGGAGATCCATCTCATAAGGACTACTTGTTCAAGGTACAAACCAGAATTTGTTTCTCTACACCTTTTTTTTTATTTCAAATATATGTGGAGGACTTACATCAAAACTACAGGCGACAATTAGTATAAATAATACTTTAATCAGTGGCAGCAAAAACATTGGTAAAGTCTATAAAAAGCATCACACGTTAACAGATATCATAGTATTGTTGGACAATGCAATCTTATAACTAAAGGCTGCAATACACAACATTTTATCCATGATAAACAAAAAACATCTTTTTTTCTTCAGCTACATAAAATAACCTCTCATGAAAGTTCAAAACACTTCGGGCTCATGTTAAATGGGGACAAATGAGAGAGAATAGCAAATTGACGTGCTTATTTCTTATTACCTAGGCATTCACATCCTGACGCTTCAGAAGGGTGGCAGATGTGAACTATTTATTTGTGGAGTTTTGCGGATTTTCAGAGCCTACTGATGTAACTGGAACCAGGCAAACTCACATTAGCCCCAGTCCTGCTCAGAGGGACTTGCCAACAGGGTTATACCCTCTGCTGAACCAAACACTCGCCCAGACGGTATTAACATTTCAAAAGACAATGGGCCAAATTTTGCTCGCACATGGACCCTGGTTTGCCTTCAGTCCCTTCAGCTGGCTTCAGTAGGGCGCTGTGCCTGGGAGCAGAACGTGGCCTTCTCCCTGCAGCGCAGTCATAACCACACAACCGCTTTGATTCAGTGACTTCCCAAAAAACCACACTGAACAAAGCCCAACACGTTGGCTTTCCCCCCAAAATAACACGTTTGCATGGTTCACAATTAGCTCAGCACAGACTTTAGGTAAACAATGGCGAGGCTTACTTTAAATCAGACTCACCAGAGTGCCTTCCTCCCACCCCTCTCAGATCACTTCTGACAGAAAATACATGACTTTTGACAACTGGGGAGATTTAAGACCGATACCAAAAGAGTTAGGTACAGCAACTTCGCAACTTGTCTGAGGAATGCCCTTCCCAAAGGCTGCCTTCTAGCTGCTCTCCATGCTAGAGAAAAGGAAGAGGAGTGCGGGTCCAAGAGGTTAAGGGTTTAGAGGTCACTCTGCCCGGCTGAAATACAGCTAATCGAATAGAAAATTTGTCCTCTGGATGAACCTGTTTCTGCAATTTAGCCGAACTTCAGTAAAATACCTTTTCAGCTTCTCAACGTGAAGGCGTCAGAGAAAAAAGACGTCTTTACTATGTATGAACTCGGGGCTTTTTGTCATAGAAACAATGATGCGAATAATGCAGGAATATCCATCTTTAATATCACGACGTGGAGATATTCAAGTATTGCCATGTGCAGGTCTGAGAACCAGGCTAACCCTTAGGAAGAACAAAGAGTTGTCTCCAGGATCTAAAACAAAAGATCAAGTCTTGGAAGACACTTTACAGAGTTAGGGACGAGGAAAGGGCAGAAAATCATCGTTGAGCACAGTTCATTTTGCCGATTACATTCATTTGGAAGCCCCTGGTTTTTTATTTCCAACCTACTAAAATCCCATTTTCCCTCGTGTTGTCTCGAGTAAAAAGTTCAGATGCCAGAGTGCTGCCAACGGAAGCCAATTTGACTATGACTAGATGCTTGCACTTTTAAGATCTCAGTCATTGTGATTTCGGATTTTCTTTGATAGGAGGAAGGCAGTGTCTAGTTAAAATATCTAGACACTTGCTATTCCCTTTACTTAAGAGTTCAGGGCTGATCTGTAAATCCCTCCAAGCCGAGGTTTATACGAGGAGGGCAGCTGATTTAGCCCAGCTTGTGAGCATTTTAGCCGAGATACAAAGAAGGCCGATTCCATTCAAACTTTTACATGGCCTCCACGTCCAAATCAAAGCCCAATGGACCTGCTCAGCTTTTATTAAAATGGTTCGTTTTCCCTTAATGCTAACTTCTAGTGATGCCTAAGCCTTTGATTCAAGTTTGATTGCTTCAAAACAGTTACCATCTTCTCAACGAAGTGTATGCCACCTTTCTTTAAAATGGGACTCTCATTATAGATATAAAACAAAGAAAATGCCACCTATTTGGAAAGCAGAATGGCTTAGATGACACCCCTCGAACGCTTTGATCTACACTCTGAGAATATTTTTTTTAGTTTGTATTCTTGTTATTCTTTTTTGTTACGAAAGGCTGGTTAAAGGAGAGAGCCGAATAAAGCAAACACGTAAAATACCTTTTACAGAATGTGACTTTTTTAGGGTCGGAAACGATTTCGTATTTACAGAGAAGGAAGGAAACCAGAAAAAGAGGCGAAAAGTTCTGTCAGATCAGGATAACTGAGCATTATACATATGTTCATGGGACTGGGGAGGAGAAACCCTGACTTTCTCCTCTTTTTGGTTTGATTATTTTCCTTTGCTTCCTATCGTTATTCTTCTAATTTGTAAATAAATAAATAGGCAAATACAAACAGAAAACATAAAATAACCCGTTTTCACTCCATTCTTATGCCCTTGTTCTGGGATGTTATGGAAATGAGCAAGAATTTTCATTACACCAAGAAACGTAAAGCAGCACAAAAAAAGTTCACAAATACTACTCTTCAGAGTTGAAATAAAAGATTAGTCAGAGATTTCTGTCCTGAACTTGCCCAAATGCCTCATCTCGAAATGCATGGGAGGGAAAGACAACCCGAACAAAAGAGAGCCGAATAAAGCATCAAACCTTCATTTTCAAATTCAAAACTGAACACAGGACACTTTCATTTTCAAGATTTATTACTTTTTATGGACAGAGGATCTCGCTTAATGTCCTCACGGTTTCCACTACCTGTCTGAAGAGTTTTTAGGTTGTGCTAATATAGGTAATTCAAATAAAGTCCAGAGTAAGGTCATTTCGCCTCCTTTGTACAACAGTACCTTAAAGCAGGATGACAGTCTGGAGTCTTTAGCTGCTACATGCAGGTTCTGCTGGGGTAATGTCAGTTATGTACAGTACTGTTCAGATTCTAAGGATGAAATGGAAAATTTCACCTCTTCTATAAAGTTGTCAAGTCAGTTTGATGGTCCTTGGGAACAGTCTGTAAATGTTGGTTTGAACCAGCTGAAGAAGACCTGCCCTTAGTGTTGGGCAGTTTGTGATCTTTTTTCCACTTCATTCTTCTGTTCTGAAACCAGATCTTGATCTGGCGTTCAGAGAGACACAAAGTGTGGGCTATCTCAATACGGCGGCGCCTAGTCAGATACCTGTTAAAATGAAATTCTTTTTCCAGTTCTAGGACTTGCTGCCTTGTGTAGGCTGTTCTGGAGCGCTTAGGTTCCCCTCCGTTGTAATTGGGATTCACTGAGGAAAAAATACGTATAACTTTAAACATCTAATCTCCACTTCCCAGGTCGACTTTACAGAGCATACCTTACAAGCTGCAAGCATGTGGCTGGCAGGGCGCATCCCAGCTGCTTACAAAACACGGGCATCTTTTTTAAAGCTAGCTAGGTCCTCTGAAAGTCTCTACTCTGCTCCTAAAATGGAGTTTTCCCCTACACAGAGAAGAGCCACATGGCCAACGGCCTATTTCCTCCGCAATAAAAATTTATGACGAGTCTAATTGGCTAGCTCAGCCTAAAACCCTCTCCCATTAGTCTTGCAAGGACTTTAAGAAGCCTCTACGCAGGATTATCTGAACCAGGGGAGAAGAGCAAAGTAAGAAGAGGAGCCTTACCCGAGTTAACATGGACTTTCTTCATCCAGGGATAAACTACTGCTGGCTGCTTAATTGCTGACCCGTTGGGGGTTTTGAGGTTTTGCTGCTGGCTGCAGGCTCGGGAGTTGGCCATTGGAGGCGGTGGACAATGCTCTGCTTGACCGGGGAAGTGGCTCGGTGGGCCGGATTGCTCCTGTCCATGACCCCGCGGCTGCACTGCAGAGCCTTGGGCATTGCTACAGCTAAAGGGCTGCTCGCTGTAGTTTGACCGTGGATAGATTCCCTGATGCTGAAAATCCGAGCCCTGCGATGCACTGTAATAGTCTGAGCCCTGCTCGGCTAGGTAGCTATTCTGTAAATATTCCTCGCAAGGAGGAAATTTGGGATCCACATACTTAGAGTTCACCATATACGAACTCATGGCCATTAATTTCTGAAGGTAGAAAATACTAATTTTTCTCGTGTTGTCTTTTTTTCTCCCTCCATAGAGCCCTCCTACTTGCTGTCAACTGAATAAAGTTAGGCGTCCATGTGACTGGCTCAGCCAATAGGAAGGCAGGGAGTTTATCACCGGATTTGTGTGCATCTCATAATTTCCACAAATTTAACTAAATAATATACGTGTAATCAAGTGACCCGAATTCGATACATTTTATCTTCAAAAACAGATATTAATGTATAAAGAATATTCATCAAACGATGACAGCCTCTCTGACCCTCAGGTAAATCAAGCCTTTTGTCTGAACTGACTTTTCTAACCTCTGATGCCCTTTAGTCTAATTCACCAGCAATAATTTCTATCACGGGTTATGTTTGTTAAATAAAATATCGCAAGGAAGGAAGAGCGAGAGGCTGGAATAGGATTCAGAGGTAGAATATTGATAGAAGAGCGAGAGGCTGGAATAGGATTCAGAGGGAGAATATTGCTCAGGAGACGAGAAAAAGAAAAGACATCAAAGAAGAAGCTAATATGATGTACAATAGCTCTGTCCTGTCTTTGTCTTGCAGAGGTCATCCAAAAGTTACCAGAATCTAGTTCTGCTGAATAAAATTAGGCAATCAGTAACTTCTGGTTCACTTTGCGAGTCTCTCTCTCGCTATATATCTGTATATAATAAAGCATATAACCAGGAAACCTTCATTTTTAACTACTGAAGTACAATCAATTGAATTGAAGATGGCATTTAACTATTATGTCAAAAAATAATCACAGATGTAATTAGAAAAATGCAGTGTTAATCCATCAACAGCATTCTTGGAGTACAAGTAAATACATTCCAGTGACTCGAATGATGCTTTTGCTATTGTCCTAAATATTTTGATGAGATCTGGACACTTGATAGGAAAATTTTGCTAACATCTGGCATATCTAGCTAACTCTTTACTTGCAAAAGTTATCTTTTTAAAAAGTCATTAGTTAATTGGCACATTTTCCAAAAAAATTGTACTGATCATGTTTAAATGAACAGATTATGAGTGAGATTTCCGATTGAACAACAAAATAAACGTTAACGATTGTTCTGATGTGCAGTAAATATGATAGAGGCAGAAAAACTTTTAGAATTTCCCAATATTCAGCACGCACATGTCTTTTGATACCTTCAATATTTTAACTTCTAACCATTTGCAGAAAGGTGAAGTTTTTGCATCGACCATATATTCCCCTAGAATCGAATCTGTGACTATGTGAATACCACACAAATTCGGTTCTACAGGGTATATATAGACAACGTAATAACATTCTGTTTTCATCTACAATATCATAGTCGGGATCATTGCAATTTTCTGATTCTTTACTGTCTTCTGAGGAATACAAACTATTCTGTAGTGATAACGTTCTGAAACGTGGATTGGAAGAAGGGTAAGATTTCCGAAAAGATTCAGTTACGTCCTTCAGGATGGAATAGATCTTTATGAGTCTGAACAAATTTGTACCACGAATTGCAACTAACACTACTGCAAATGCTCCCTAAGATTTGATGATCACTTTAGATGCTCTGCCATTTAAATCTCTACTAAAGCCAATGAAAGTTACCAATCAAAATAAAATGCTTTTTACATTAAAATTAAATGCAATCAGGGTGTTTCTATTTTGGCTAATCTAGATGAGATTTTACCTAATTAGGTTTTTTTTTTTAAATCGAAGCAGAAAGACAAGAGCGGGAAACAAAGGCAGCTATATGCAAACAGGATTTTACAAAGGAAAAAAAAGTTAGTTGTTAGGGGGAAATAATTTCCAAATTTACCTTCATCACATTATGCTGCTCTAGTTACTTATTCCTGAGAGCTGAGTGGGAGCCTATCAGCAAAACTCTCTGCTTAGCACTCTCCTCAGGTTTTCGTGCGGTAGCGTTTATGGTGAAGGGCAGGGCGAGAGGTCATTCGAAATCATTTACAAACATATCACAAAGTTTCATTATTTTTACTTTGTCGACAGCAGCACACAGGAGTACAAAAGTTCATGAATTGTGTCTGACCCAGCTCCTCCGTGCTGTCCTGTGGCCAACCTCTTCTTCCACTACGTAAAACAAGGAGCCTAAGGACAACTAATAGCGTGTGCGCGCAGGGGTCCTCCGAGATGCACTAGTTAGTGCCTATTTCGGGACAGTAGGTTTATCTGATGGAAGCTGGTTGGCTGGTTGGCTTTGCTACAACTCACATCTGTCTACTTTCGCTGTATTGAGGGAAGATATTTTTAAGCATCTGCTTTCTCATTATGGCGGTGAGGACCGCTTCTTAGCAAGTGCTGCTCGAAACGATTTTCTGGCCCAAATCTGGATTTCCGGATTGTTTAAGGTCACATCTAGCTCTTTTCATAGATCCTCTTTGCTTTCTCTTTTTGATGCAGAGCATTTAGCTGCGACGTGCTGGGTAATTAAACGTACTCCACAAGCCCACATTAGAAAAACCCAGTTCGCAGTGCAGCAGCCCCCGCCAGATTCCGAGAATCCGGGAGAGTGTTGAACAGAAGGGATCGATAGGGCTGAGAAAGCACCTCTATATTCCGTTTAATAGCTCACATTTTCATATTTGTTAGACGCTGTGACCTGCGTTTCACCTTATTGCACGACTTGCTCAGACAGGTCAAAGCCAAAGAGTTATTGATGAACAAAAGCGTTAAATATTCACCTCCTGTTCAACTGCCCATACAAGTGCTTTTGATCTATCAGCCTTTTTGTATTCTGGTTCATAATCAGTATGCTAAATGTAGGTTTGTAAAAAGAAAGTAATCCATAGATTTAGGGCCGACCACAGAATATGGCTAGACTATCCATGCAACTCAGGACTGATCTATGGAAGAAGAAAAGTTACCTATGGAAGATAATTTTAAAGCCTACAGGACTGGCAATTGTTTAGTTCCATCAGGGAGAACTCGGAAAATAATGTGGTAAAGTAAAATCAGAATCGGAACCATCAGTCTACTCTGAAGAAGCAAAAGACCTTGTTTATCAGTATGCATGAAAAAGAAGCACAGAGAAAATAGACATGAGAGCAGTGCCCTCCCCCCCCGGTACATTATCACGGTCAGATCATGGTTTGCAGAGTGGGCAGAAAATGTATATTTAATGAATCTTAACAATCTGAGGCTTTCTTCTCCATTAAAAAATAGGTCAATCTTCTTCTTAAGGCAGGGGCTTGAAATGCATCGAGTTCCCCTATTTTTCAATTTTTCCACACATAAAGCTGCAGTAAAGAACGTTTTCTGCTCTATATCTAACAATGGTCTTTGTCACAATGTTTTCCCCTTAAATATTCGTCTTGTTGCAATTAATTGTAGATAATGGAAGACAAGAAAAATCAATAAAATGGAAGGTCCTCCTCCTAAACTCACAGAGTAAGTCTACTCAGTGCCTTCACGTAATTTAAATACACGTTTTACCCTCGCTAGCCCAAAAAGACTTAATTGACCCAGAGGATATGTATTGCTGCTGGGAAAACACCTAGGAGCTCGAGGCTAACAACTTGATTCACCCATGCTACCGACATGCAAACACCACGATGCCCTTCATTCGCGATGCCAGACCAACCGAGTTTCAACCTGGATAAGAAACGCAACTCTATTTTGAATCCTTTCGGGGGGGGGGGGGGAAAGAGGAGGAGTAGCCAGGATTATGAAGCACTGTGATATAACCTAATAAATTCAGTGTTTGCACAGGGAGGCGCTGTATAGCCCTGGCGTGATAAAACTGTAATACTGCTAATTAGTTTATAGTACCTAAGAGCAGGATAACATGACACCTAGCACCTGTGCAGCACTGATATTATCCCTAAAGAAACTCCACTTTTAAATTATCTGAAAGTACACATGTGCATAAAGACAGGCTTAAAAACACTGGAGCCCCAAGAGTCTTTAAATACAAATAAAAACATCCTTACTGTCATGTAAAAATGACCTATTTTCCAGCTTAAGGCAAAGAAATAATGACTTCAAAGAATACCAGTTATACAAGAAATTAGAAGTTACTTACTGTAGCCGTCTTTCCATTGTGTCAAACCTGTTGCAATAAAAACGTTTGTTATTGTTATATTTCATATATGAGTCATATTCATTTCAAATAAGTATAGCAACATAAAGAGTACAAGCATGCACACATACAGAAAAGGTCAGGGTAATTCTTCGAATAAGGTGCTGAAAGAAGCTTCTCTTTGAATTAAACACAGATTGCGTTCACTAAGATTTGTATGAACACCCCCCCCCCCGCGCCAATGACTGACGTATGTTCTTTCACTTTGACTATTTCTGTCATACATTTATTAATTATTGGGGGGGGGAGGAAGAAAGCCAAACCCACTACTTCCACCACTGAAAAAAGAATAACAAAGGCCTTTTTTCTTTACCAATTCACTAACTCCTATACACATTAAATATTCGGATCTACCTTTGCTAAATCATATCCTATCAATAGTGGCACATGTCATGCAGCATCTTATCGATTCTGAGAATAGAAAGAACTATAATTCCATATTAATACGTCTCCGATTTCCCTATTATTGATATCCTTTAAGATCACCTATTATCCAAACATAACCAGGAGTCATGTGTGCCTTTGTCTGCACCATAAGAGTGTGCAGTTCCATTAAATTTACCTTCACATTTCCTTTCTGTCTAAATTCAATAAATATACAAGTTAAAGCAAAAGGAATAAGCATTCAGATGCTCGTTAAAATATTTCATATCTCTAAGGAGCACATGCCAGTATTTCTTTATTTGTGAGCAACTATTTCGTCTCATCCACTGCTTTGCCATAGTGTCCTGGGCAATTGTTGTATCAACATACAAAGAAACTGACCTTGTAATACTAGTGCACTATATAGAGCCTCCCAAACCCTTTTTTCCCCTCCAGCTTTTCTGCACTATTCACTTTCCCTTAGAACTTGCTAAGGATACTGAAATCCCAGCAGTTAAACAGCAAGTAATGCCTTACCGGCTAAAAACAGGGTTAATTTCAGAATAAGATGCTTCCCTCTCATCCGAAAGCTCAAACCTGAAAAAAGCACCCCAATTCCAGCCACTATTACCTAATCGTAGTTATTTGAATTGTACCTGCTCATTTTGAGAATAACCCTGCTTCCAGTCTATATAACATAGCAGGGCTAGGCTACATTTGAATACTATTCATATACAGTTCAAGGAGGCACAAAGACCTCGGAGCAACCGATCACGTTTGTGATGGTATAAAGAGTAATATCGGACTTACTGTGTGCTTTCCCCATGGAAGGGGGAACTGAGAGCAGAAATATCTCCATGGTCGGATTCAGGCAGAATGTTCCTTGCTAACACTTTCCCTATTACTGCTTCCAGGAACTAAAGCATCTGCACTTCTATGCTCTTAAACTAATTTATGGTGGGAATTATATTTTGGCTTGTCAACTCTCAAGCCATAAAACAAAGTTTATTGGAATCACGTGCTTCTAAATAGCCACTCAGGACCTATCTCTGTGGAACCATAAATAACCTTCAGCTTTAAACTTTTATTCACTAAATAAAGGTTCACTGAATGTGTTCTATAAAATTTAAATAGTTCAAAATATCAGGGATGGACGCAGCTCGCTGTAGTACCAATATCCTGGCCTTTTAAAACAGTGTATTGTAAAGAACCCTACTTAAAGTGGAGTTAGCCTCCAAATTGCTAATGGAAAAAGGAGCGTGTGCATTTCGCTGTGAGTACCAATTCCAACCTTTATTTGACCATGCATGTACCTGGCAGGGATGGGGAAACAAATGGTAAGGAGAAAAGAAGAGAGGGTCTTCATTAAGGGGATTTTCCCCCCTTGTCTGAAAGTTTATAGCACTTTGGTCGAACGCCCTTAGAAAGTAGTCTGGGCTACCCTAACCTATCCTCGGGACTCTTGCTCAGTCCAGTCGAGCCAGAAGGCTGCGATCTCCCCCAACACATGTCCGGGGCTTCTGGGGTATGCTTGCCTATAGGGCGCTGGCAAGTGACCAAACTGCTGCAAACAGCAAGGCACTGCTCCTTCTAAAGTGAGAAAACTGGTCATCCTGACCAAAGGAGATCTTTGATAACTGAAGCTTTAAGGAGGGCTATAAAACAATAAAACAGCTCTGGTGTGAAGGGAGCAGGGTGCGAGTAAGCAAATGAGAATTTCAAGGAGGCTAAGCACAGGAAGTCAAATGTCACCCCCCTTCTCCCCCCCCCCC